CCCCAAAACCCCAAAACCCCAAAACCCCAAAACCCCAAAACCCCAAAACCCCAAAACCCCGAGTTAGTTTAAATAATTGAATTTAGGCACAACTTTGGAGTTATTCATTATCTTCTTCTTTCTTTTCTTCCTTATCATCATCTACGAATTCCTCAACTTGAAGTTCTGGTGCTACTTTTTTGACTATTTTCTTGATTTTATCTCTCTTCATGGGTTCTGCAGTCTGGACTTTCGAAATAGTGCTACTAACCCTGTGACGATTCTTATGCTTAATGTTCAATAGGTCCTTATTGATTTTATCAGTCTGTAGAAAGGGCTTTGAAGTGTCTCTGAGTACATCTGGAACAAATTAGACAAGCTAACGACTATCTATACCTTTCTCTATAACTGTGAGCTTCTTTAGCATCATTTTTCTCTCCTCTCGCTTATGGTTTTCTATCCTGTTTTCCATTCTAATTTGCTCAAGTTCTTTCTTCCTTGCAATGATCTGTTGATGGATTTCCTTATTTACGATATTCTGCTTTATTGACTTTCTTGTGGTAATTCTTTAACAATTCTTTCCTTCTATTTTTCATTATATCTCTTCTCTAGAGCAAGATTTTCTAAGAACTTTTTGTAGACCTGGTCCTCCTTGGTTCTAGTATTGTTACACAAAGGGCTTACTTTTGGTTAAGCTTATGGAGCTTGGAATCTTCTATGACTCCTTTCACCTTCTTGTGCTTATCGTGGTATCTTTTGACAAAAGCTTGAAGATTTTCCTCTTCTTTTTGCTTACTCTCTTTATTTGAAATTATGGTTGATTCTTTCAACCTGCTCGTTGTTGGATTTCTGAGTCTTAGCAACCTTATTCATTGAGCGGAGGTGGTTCATACTAGCTCTTTCTATCCGAGCTTCAATCCTTCCCAACTGAAGATCAATGTCTGTTTCCGCCCTGATTTCACTGTTGGTAGATCTACGCATCTTTTGAGAGCTGCCAGTGAAGGGTCTTATCCTCGAGTTTGCAAGAGTAGACAACTTGTCTTTCTGTTTTCCTTGTTCTTTATGGAACATTCTATAAAGTCAAGAAGGGATGTATACCCAGTTGAACTAAACTGATGACGAGACTTAGTCTTGAACTCTTTCTCAATAGCTATACATGTCAAAACTTTTAGTACCTCTTCTTTTCTTGTCTTGCTTGCTCTGGATGGTACTTTTATGCATTCTTACACGATCAAGTTTAGCTTTCCCTAGAGAAGTGAGACAAGGATTTACTGTGTTTAATCATCATTTCTCGCTCATGTTTCTTTTCTAACTTATATTGCTAGAGTCTATCAGAAGGGAAAGGTACCAGGATGGTCTGCTTGTCCTTCTTCTCCTTTTTGGCAAGGATTTTCCTCCTGTTCTCTATCACAAGGCATTCTGTATGGAATTAAGCGAAAGTTGTAAGAATTTTAATAGAAATACACTAAAGTCTCTGAAAATTTCAAGATTCTTTAGCAATCTGGGGTTTACCTTTGATCCTTTGGTCGTTCACTTTTTGCTCTTTGGAGAAGTTTCTTAAAATTTTTGAATACTGCTTATCAGCTGGAGACTGCTCCAAGCCAGGCTCTTGCATTCTTGGCACTGATAAATTTTGATGCATAGGTTTAGATGGAGAGCTTGGAACGTTCTTTTGGGGAGATGAAGGTGGCTTCAAAGTATTTTGGGATTTCAGTGTCTATGAAATAAGAACATTTTCAAAATTACCTTTAATGATTGTAATTTATCACAAGGCTTTCTGCTATTCATATTTGTAGGTGTATTATAAACTGAAGTTCTTGGCCTATCATAATTATACTGACTCCTCTTAACCAGCTTATTTTCTTTCCTCAAGGAGAGACTTAATAGTAACATTGTATCTCTTAACATAATAGTTATACCTCAGATTGACTACCTCCTCAGTCCTTCCTTCTTCTCTAAAGTTGTCTTTAGTCTTAATAATAAAATCTTCTTTCTCAATACCTATAACTCACCTTCTTAGCTTACCTAAATTCTCCATCGCCTGTATAGTCCTTGGAGAATCAATCCTAATCTTAAAATTATAATATTTCTCGTCTTTAGCCATTGCAGATACCCAAATAAAATTTCAATAAAAATATTTCCCACTGGGGTTTTGGGGTTTTGGGGTTTTGGGGTTTTGGGGTTTTGGGGTTTTGGGG